TTTACATTTGTCTTTTTATACCATTGTGCTGAGTGCATTTGGAAAATGGGTTGACCTTGTAAGTCTAGAAGCAAAGGTAATCACTTAGAAAACTTGCAGTAAATCAAGGTGGATGTAACAGCTAGAATTAGGAAATGGGCATAGGTTTTGGGAAGATGGAGGTAAATTACTGGGATCTTAAGGATATAAAATATTCAGAACTTTGTGTTTGTTTATGTTGTGAGACACATCTCTGCCTTCACCCCTACTATTAGGTTTCTGCTTAAGCAAGTCAATAAATTGTTTATTAGGATTGATAGGCAATGAGGGGACCTCAAAGTTTAGTCATTTAAAGAATAATTTTCTACTTCTCACTTGATAATCTGTAATGGTTATTACTTACCTTGGTGCAGAATTAAGAATATTTAACCAAATCATCAGGTCATGTAGTGATTTTGTTTCACATGCTAACTCAGAGAACCAGTCTGAGAGATGTGCCATCTTTTATACATCCCTTCCAAGATTGTCATTATCACTGTCATCCTGAATGAGAAAAGAGGAGTGGATAAGCCAGGCCCAGAAATGGCTCTCACCACAATTGCTCCTGTCCACTGGAGAGATTTGTTCATGTGGCCTCACATAATTGCAGTGAAGATGGGAAATGTAGAGTAGCTGGGTATCTAGCATAGAAGAAAGGAACAACAGATTTTAGAGAAATCGAGTTTGAAAATTAAAACAGATTTTAAGTCTACTGCAAATGATACTGTTTTCTCATAGGACATGTGATGAGAAAAAGAAGTACAGCCAAAGCTGGTGATTTTTTTGTGTGTGGATGCTCTTTAATCACGATTATAGAACTTTTAAATATAGGTGTGTGGTAAGAACAGACAAGTAATAGCCACTACATAAATGCAAAAAAATACTGTTTAATCTGTAGCAATATTTAAAACTGACTTTTTTCTTGGGAGACATCAAAAGGAAGGCAAGGGGTATGAAAATAGAAAGAAAAAGGAAAACAATAAAGGAACAGTTATATTTACTGTTATTTAGTGAGGGAAGTAAATTTAAGCTAAGACTCAAATTTGTCAGTAAAGGAAAACCTATTGACCTGGGAAAACACCCCAACTAAAAGATATTAAGCAATTGTAAAGTCCTGGGAATGGACTTGGAAGATTTGAGCTTCACAACATTGCTTAGTATAAGTAGGAGATTAGATCATGGGAATGGAGCCCTGCTGAGTAACAGAGAGAGTTTAAAGTTGTATTTAGTTGCAGTGGGAAAACAGTGGATAGTTTTAAGCAAGGATTCAGCAAGTAAATGATAAAAGTTGATTTTATGCTTTAAAATTGTGGAGGGATGGAGGCAAGGAAACTAGGTACACGATAGTTCCTTAGACTAGAGTTGTAGCTGTAGCAAAGGTGAAAAGTGGTTGGATTTGAGAACTGTAGAACAGCAAGAAATGGACAGGTCAAATATGAGATGTGAAGGAAAGCGGAATCAATAATGAATGACTTGAGTTTTCACCTCAGATGCTGGTTGAATAGTTGATAACATTAGGTCCAGTATTTCTTATGTTGGTCTGGTAGGTGTTTCTGCAGTGGATTCTTGAGGTGGCATGACATTTTTCATACATGTGATGAATTCAGTGAACAGAAGGATTTCCATTTTTTAACCAACCCTTCATTAAGATTTTTAAGTGCAGTAGCCAGTGTTAGTCAGAGTATTGTATTAATCTCAAAGGAAAGACTTTATGTTGTTGTGCTTATAATCAGAATTATATCTGAGGATTTGAAATTTTAGATAATTTTTTTTCATATATTTGGTGTCCAGCAATGGTGTGCTGACTATAGTATGCATTTGATAAAGATTTGTTAAATAAAGAGTTTTCTTGTAGATGTTTATAAATTAGCAGCAATTTTTCCCTCTAAAAAAGTATGCATCTTAAAAAATTATAAATGTAGACATTATAAATGTTGGAAAAATTAAGCATTTTAGAGTTAGTTCTTAGAATTATTGTTAACAAAAGCAGCAACTTTGGCTTGTTAAATTTTAACTATAGGAACACCCAAACACTTCAAGGGCCTAGGATCTGCTTTTCTTGTTACATTAATACCAGATAACCTGAGCCACATACTAACCCTGAGACATACTCTTAGGTCAGTCCTTGATCTATTGGGGATCCGATGCTGCTTATCAGGCTTTAGAGTAGGAAAGACCATCAATGATCTCCTTTCCTTGGCCTCTTCTGTCTTTAGAGTTCCTGGGGTTCTCTAGGGACAAAATATTGAAATCTTATCAATGGACAGGTAAAAAGCCTTTGATTTCTACTTTGCTGACACTTCATTGAATATAAATAAAATATCAGTGCAGTAATGTGTTTTACATAAAGTGTGTATTAGTCTCAATGTTTATTCACTTCGTAAACTAAAGAAATTCTACAAATTTGAAATTACATGAGTTAAATTGAACGTTCTGAGTTACAGTTAAAAGTTAATAACTGACTGCTTTTCCTCTGTCTTTGGTTATTTTTCTATTATACAAAGGAAATAGCTGGGATTTTGAAGATTCAGTGCCCTTGAGTCAGTTCTGTCTCATGTTGACCCTGTAGGAGAGGGTAGAACTGCTCCTGTGGGTTTCTGAGATTGTCATTCTTCACAGTAGTAGAAAGCCCCTTCCTTCTCTCACGGAGCCGCTGGTGGTTTTGAGCTGTGGACTTTGCAGTTAGCAGCCCAGTGCATAGCTACCCAGTGCATACCACCAAGGCTCCAAACTATTAATTAGTGTACATTAAATATTTTTGTTGTGCACTGAAATATGTACTTCTTTTCATTTTGTATTTAATCATATTGGAATAGGCACAAAACATTCTTCTGAATTTGATTACATTAACAAAAATAAGCTAGTTTGGTTTTAACTGCTAAAGGTAACTGTCTAACTGTTGCCTTCAATTTCTTCCTTTTTTTTCCAATTTCATATACAGTATATAAAAAATAGTCATTTTCAAAATATTTTCAGCTAAATTTAGTAACCTGAATTTGTATGGTTTCTCCATATAAAGCAACAAATTAAAAATATACATATATTTTCCATATTACTCAATATGTTTATATGTATAAATGTATATTTGTTTCTCCTTGTAGATTAATTTTTCTTGAATAACAGATTAATATCACACATTCACTTGATACAAGAATAGTTTTCTTTTGAAGGGGCTTCAAAAAGTTTGGAAAAATAAAATGAAAAGATAATGGAATTTTTCCATAAACTTTTTGAAGCTTTCTTGTGTGCTTATAGATACTGAAATGTGTAGAAGAGCCAATCATCATATTCTTTCATTGTTTTCCCATTCATCTAATTCATGTATGTTACCTAAAGTTTCAGGCACATGTTAAGGTGCCAGCCCTATAACCAGCTTGTTCTAGGCTTTATCTATGGGATCATATGACTTGGGGGGGTCTTCTGATTTTCAAAACATAAACAAAATAGAGAATTCAAGAGAATGGTAGTAAGTATGATAAAAATTAAAGAATGTGAAATTAAATCTTTTGGTATTAGAATTTAGACTTTTTAGAAGTGAGCCATTCATCTTGAAAGAGATGAAAGGTTTGGATGAGGAAAAAAATACAGAGTAAATTTCAAATTTAAAAAGAATTAAGGCACAGAATGTGTCTTTAAAGCATGTTTGTAAAGAATGAAGTCTGACTTCATTGGAGTAGCTAGTATTAAAAGCTTCTTCCATATATTAAGAAAGTAATCATGGGAAACTAACAAAAATTACCAAGAAAGGCATATAAATAATGTTAGAAAAAATATTTTTAAAAGCCATCTCTCTTATGTACAATTAAGTCAGTTTTTCCTGGTTTAGAAAACTATTACTATAGTCCTGTCTGTAGCAATGGTGTGTGGTGATCAGATAGATGGTTTAAGTTATTTGGAAAATTTTGACTAAATGAGGCAGATCAGGTCATATTTGCCTGGAACTTCAGATCTATATTTAGCAATGTGACTCTATAGAGCGAATGGCTTTACAAAGCATATTATTCTTTTCCTTCTTCTGAAAACTGATCCAGGTAAATTCCTGGGGAATTTCCCAAGAGGTAGCCTTTGAAATTTTTTGATTTGGATGTTATCTAGAAAGAAAGGGAAGGTTAGAATTTATCTGACAACATATATCTATGCAGTTTACCTCAGTATTAGTTGAAGAACCATTTTCTGACTTCTTAGAACCTTGTTCATTCATGTGAATCAACTAAAAATCCAACCCCCAAACCCAAATCAAATCAATCTGATTATGACTCATAGTGATCCAAATCAAATCAATTTGATTATGACTCATAGTGATTCAACATAAATTTTCTAAGACTGTGACTCTTTATGGGAACAGATAGCCTCATCTTTCTCCACAAGTGGAGGCAGCTGGTGGGTTTGAACTGCCAGCCTCAGGAGTTTGCAACCCAGAACACACTTCTCAGACTTTGTACAATAAAGGTCAAACTGCTCTTGTGTTCTTAGCAAATAAAGAGGTATAAGCATGTATATGTCATTATAATTAGAAGATGACAAAAAATTATCTGATAAATTGCCATAACTATAATTAGTGCTTCATTGTGGAATAGACTTCCACTACTACAATCTACAATTCTACATTTTCAATTCACATACTATAGTGAGTTAAAATCAATGAAATATTATCAGTAATAGGTATGTTTGAGAATTTTTATTAGTTGACCCATATTTAAATTATAGTCTGGTACATCCACTAGTAATTTGACAGATTTGAGCTAAATCAGTCCCTTTAAAAGTAATTATGAAAAAGTAATGAATAGATAAGTTGATAAGATCTTTGATCAAATTATAGTTAAACCAACTAACAACTTCTTATTTTCATATATTTATGTATAGTTGCCTGAATGATAACAGGATTGTAAGATTGCTCTGATAGGCTAAAATAATATTTTCTAAGAGAATCAAATTATTCTAACAAATACTAACTCAGAAGTGTGCTTTTCTATGTTTTATAGTCGACCATACACCAACAAGGTCATCACTTTATGGTACCGTCCACCTGAATTGCTATTGGGAGAAGAACGATATACACCAGCAATTGACGTATGGAGTTGTGGGTAAGATATGCTTTTATTAGTCATTTCATTTTACTTGAAAACTTTGGTAGTAAAGTCAGTCCATATGTTAATGATGGGTATTTTCTCTTAGATGCATCCTTGGCGAACTCTTCACTAAAAAACCCATATTTCAAGCAAATCAGGAACTTGCACAACTAGAATTAATAAGGTAAGTTCATGGATCTAATATTTTGGGTGGAGATAAGGAAATTGAAAAATCTATCAAGCTTATCTTTTCAGGAGGAAAATATCATAGGTCTCTTGAATGCTAACTGAAGGATGCAGACACTTTGATACATGTTCCGATAACATTAAGATTCTTAAGATAGAACCTATCTTACATAGCTATTCATATAGCTTAGTCATTTTTCTCTTAATCCAAAATTTGACACCGGTGCTCACTTCAGCAGCACATATATGGAAATTGGAACAAAATTTGACATCGTTAGGAACAATGTTGATGCAAGATGCAAATTAACAGAATTTATTGTTTTTCTCAACTGGACAGAATGAACACAAAACAAGAGTTAAGTACCTAGAAGATCACAACTTCCTGTCATAAATTGAAAAGTTGTACCCGGAGTTAGGCAACTGTTAATGAGCAAAAAGAGAGATCTTGAGAATTTACAAGTGTTTGTTTCCCTGTTTATGGAAACCAGTGAATTAACTAGAGTATAGGCAAAATAGAGAAACAAAACGAACAATACCTTAATATTACCTTGTTAATGATTGGGGAACTGTATAGGATAATGTGGGAAAAGATGAATGCTCTAGTTTGAGCCCATTTCTGTGGGGATAATTTGGTTCAAGTAAGACAGTCACAAGCCAGAGAGCAGCAGTGATTTTATTCCATAGCTGTTCAGCAATCGCTTTTTTTGCTCTAAGCTGCTTGACAAAAGTAGGCTATAAGAAAATGAGTGTGAACTCTAAAGCATTGAAATAGTGCAAACTATATTCAATAATCAAAAATAGATTAAAACTAGTAATCATTAGAAATAACAAAACCTTTCAGCTCTCAAAAGTTTAAAAACAGGTCTACAGTTTTACACAGACATGAGCAATACAAACTAAAATATTAGCATATAAAATGAAGTTGTAGTGTGGGAATTCACCACAGTGTAAAGAAGAGAAAAATAATTATGAGATCACTTGATTGACTCAGCTTACCCCCAGAACACATTGGAAAACTCAAATAGAAGAAAGAATGTTTATAAAACATTTTTTAAAAGAAGTAGGTCCTAACATTTTTATAGGTAAACTCTTGGCTCCTCTTAAGCAGACTTACTGTATTAACGAATGTTCTCCATTCCATTCCCTCCATAAATAAATACTGGTTTGATGACATGGCACGATGGATACTTACAGTAGGTGACCAGTCATAATGTGACTTACCTCAGCAGTTACAGGGTATCATGACCAGCATGTGGTCTAAATGTTTTATGCAAACTATTCCTCTTATAAATGTTCAGTTTAATTAAATACTACATAGACACAGAGCTTTACAACTAAAATAGTTGCTTTCAGATTAATTAGGAATGGTCAAGGAACTGTAAAAGTTATATACACAAGTCACAGCAATATAGAAAGATTGAGCATTCAGATTGCTTTGGAAATTTTTTTGTTTCTTTTAATCATTTTATTGGGGGTTTGTACAACGCTTATCACAATCCATAAATACATCTATTGTGTCAAGCACATTTGCACTGTTTTTGTTTTTAACTTTAAGCTTTGTCTAAAGAATCCAAGATGTAAATTACTTGAATTTAACCCAGTGAATCAAAGAAAAGACTGGTCCTATGGCAGCAGATTTGAAGATAAATGTATATTCCTACATTCTTCACGAGAATGTTGAAGAAATATTAAACATCTGTCTATTCTTTCCCCTTTAAAAAAAATTCCCTCGTTAACCCTTCCCTCCCCTTTTTTCTTCCAGCTAACCAGCCAACTATAGATACTGATTATTGTATTGGATGTTGCTGCTGCTGTTAGATGCCATCAAATCTTTTTGAAATCATAGTGACCCTATTGTACAATAGAATGAAACCCTGCCTGGTCTTCCACCATCCTCACAGTTGTTATGTTTGAGCCCATTGTTGTAGCCACTGTGTCAGTCCATCTTGTGAAGGGTCTTTTCTTCACTGCTCTTCCTCTTTGCCAGACATGCCTTCAGGGACTGGTCTTCTATTAATGCTCCACTGCCATTGAGTCAATTATGATTCTTACTGACCCTAAGGACAGAGGAGACCTGCCCCTATGCGTTTCTGAGGCTGTGAATCTTTACAGGAGCAGACAGCTTAATTAAAAAAAAATTTTTTTTACAGTTTTATTGGCACATAATCCACATAGCATATAATTCAATAGTTCAATCATATCAAGAACTGTATAATAATTACTACAATCCATTTTAGAACATTCCGCCCCATGGGTAGATCGCCTTTAAAATTAGTTATATAATCACAATCAGTTCTAGTGCTTCCTCCCTCCCCAATTCATTTTTTTTTGTTTGTTTGTTTTTAAATCATTTTATTAGGGGCTCATACAACTCTTACCACAAACCATACACACATCAATTGTGTAAAGCGCATTTGTACATTCATTGCCCGCAGCTTAATTTTTGCCCGCGCACAGCTACTGGTGGAGTGTAAATGCTGACCTTGGGATTACAGTCTAATGCAGTGGTTCTCAACCTTCCTAATGCCACATCCCTTTTTAAACCCTTACATTCCTCACGTTGTGGTATGACCTCCCAACCATAAAATTATTTTTATTGCTACTTCATAACTGTAATTTTGCTATGTTATGAATTGGGCAACCCCTGTGAAAGGGTTGTTCGACCCCCAAAGGAGTTGTGACCCACAGGTTAAGAACTGCTGATCTAATGCATAACTTACTACTCCACTGGGGCTCCTTTTCTATTAAGATAGTTAAGACAATGTGAAGTTTATGTAAGCTGTAAGCATTGCCTGAGAGCTTCTCCTTGGTTATCTTACTTAAGATTCTTAATAACTATATGTGTTCTTTTTATAGTTGCGAATATTAAGCTTAAAGAAATGAAGACATTTCCCAGGGTGTACACCTAGAAAAAAACAAAATTGGGAAGTGGACCCTAAGAATCTATACTTTTAACCATTATACTATGTAGGAAGTGAAGCTTCATTCAGCTTTTTACAAAGTCATGATAAAAAATACCAGTACTTGACAAAGACAGCATGACACATTTCTCTATAGGAAATTAATTCAAAACTTCTTTAGGAGATATTATAACTAGTGTCCAGAAATTCTGTAACGATGTTAACAAGTAAAATTTTTAATTTTATTTTTTACTGATAGGGGTTATCCTAAGACTATAAGGATATTTAAAATTATGAAATTAAAACAAGAAATGATTGTCTTTTGGTTTCTTTATTTTTAAAAGTTTTCTAGAAGTACTAGCCAGTTAACTAACCCAAAACCAAACCCACTGTCATTTAGTCAATTCTGACTCATAGTGACCCCATTGAACAGAGTAGAACCTCCTTTTTCAGTTTCCAAGACAATAACTCTTTTTAAAAAAATAATTAAATTGGGGCTCTTACAGCTTTTATAACATTCCATACTTCAGTTGTATTAAGCATATTTGTACATATATTGCCGCCATCATTTTCTAAACATTTACTTTTTATTTGAGCCCTTGGTATCAGCTCCTCTTTTTTTCCTCCCTCCCCTTCCTCCCACTATCTTGACCCCTTGATAAATGATTATTGTTTTCATATCTTAAACTGACCACTGTCTCCCTTACCCCATGTTTCTGTGGTTCATTCCCCTTGGGTAAGGAGGTGGCGAGACTAAATCTTCATGGGAGTAGAAAGCCTCATCTTTCTCTTGAGCAGGCAGCAAGTTTCAAGATGCTGACCTTGCCTTTAAGCCCAATGCGTCACCAGGGATCCTTTAATTAGTTAACTAGATGTGGTAAAAATTAAACCAGCAAAAGGTATAAATAGTGGAAAGATGGAAAGAATATTGCCAAACTTTGTATATGGTAACACCGTGTGCATGAAACATGCAGGGGGATCTTAACCTGAAGGACCTCAAATAAAGAATATGTTAGTTGACAGGTATATATTCTATATGCTTTCTTTTTATAGTTAAGGAAAATAAAGCCTACATCCTATATTGTATACATGTATTATAGGATCCCTGGTGGTATATTGATTACTCGTTAGGCTGTTAACCACAGGACAGCAGTTTGAAACCACCAGCCATTCTATAGGAGAAAGATTTACTACATGTGTAAATAGTTGCAGTCTCTGAAAACCACAGAACTCTTGTTCTGTTGGGTCACTATGAGTTGGGCTTGACTCAATGGCAGTGAGAAAGAGATAGATTAGTAATAATTAAAAGATAGATACTTAAAAACAACTTTATAAATATGAGTGTGTATAGACTAATAAAAACTACTTAGAAAACATAATGGTAAAAAATTGCCTATAACAAAACCCACTATATGTATCTCAGGAATATTGAAAAATACAATATCTTACTGGAAAAAAGTATTTGACTAGCTGTCACAGAGCATATTTTCTTTATTTTCTTCTTAGGAAGCCTTTCCCTTTATTCTAATAAATGATAATCATCCTGAGAATTTCAGAAGACATTTTTTAAAGTATGACAATTGGTTTTAATATGTATTTGTAAGGGTACACATAAAAATAACCAGGAAATTTTTCATTAAAAAATAATGCATAACAATGGGCTAAAACAGAAGAAGCAATTGTGAGAATGGTCAGGACCAAGCAGTGCTGTGTTCTTTTGTACATATTGTTTCTGAGTCAGAACCAACTCGATGGCACTTAACACCAGTATTCAACTTGAGGGAGACAGGCAAAACAAATGGATAAACTATATCAGGTGGTGCTAAAGTATGAGGATAGGAAATGGAAGGAAGTAATAGTGTATGCAGAGTCAGGGAAGGGCAGCCATGAGGTGACATCTGAGCAGAGATCTGAATGAAGCGAAGGAACAGCACATTTATAAAGATCGTGAGTCGTTAGTGTACTTTGGTTATTTAAAGAATATGTTAATAACAGTTAACTATATAGGAAACAAGAAATCTGGTCACATACAAATATACTTAAGAGAGGAAATGTACATCTGGAGATACATGAAAATGGAACTCAACTTTGAATGAAA